CACAATTCTCATTTGCATTCCTTAGGATAAATGTCACTTTCCTGAAATGTAGAGTAGTTACTATATTACTTTTATAGAAGAGACTGAAGAAAATAAAATAAAATAAAATAAAATAAAGACTTGCAATCAAATTCTGCCCTGTCTCCTCTGTCTCTCTCTGCTTCCAAACCTTTCCATTCACCTATAGTGAGGTGTTCTGTTTCCATTTAGGCTTCCTCCAAAAAAGGCTTAGATTTACAAAAGTGATGCAGTGTGTCCTTTTGGTAGTATTTAAGGTCAGATTATCAGAACAGTTTAAGATTCAATTTTCCATGGCTGTTCTGGAAAACCTAGCCACTGGTTTAGGTATTCAAATGAGAGCTGACCCAGTCATAGAGTATTTCTAGCAAGACATTATTAAATATGACCTACTTCTCAAAACAATACGTCCTTCCAGTGCCGGGTGTCTGGATGCATTAGCTGGTATCTGAAGAAAATCTTTGTGGCAGAACCTTATTTGTAAGTTTATTTAAGAGCTACTCAGGTATCCTGACAAGAAATTTCCTCATTTGCTTCCAGTGAAACACTGTTTCTTTTGTCAGTTTTGTTTTTTTCATTTGCAAAGGGAATAAGCCTTTACAGACTGTGAGATAATTAATAGATACATTAACACATAGCACACAGAGGACATATGTGCAAATGTATGTGTGAGTGGTTTTTTCCTATATGAATTTCATGACTACATTGACAGTTATGTTTACAGGCACTATGAGTCAGCTAAGCATGTCCAGTATTTTCCATTCTAAACCCCCAGTTTTAGCAGCTTGCAATTTTTACAACTTAAACGCCAGCATCTGGGCCAAATAGTGCCGTATTAGTGACACCTCTGATGGTTTTACCCATTAGTCCCTCAAAGGGGAGCCATCCCATCCAAGTTTTCGCAAACATGCTGATATTGCAAGGCACAAAGAGACAAAGACAGTGAGCCCGTAGGAAAGCCCATGAGGCTATTAATCACCTTGTATTTGGAATTAGGCTAATATGGTACTCAAGAGATGATGCTTAAGGACACACACTGACGGATGAAAGTAAATAAGAAGTATTGAATAGAACTGCCCATTCATTGAATGCTGTCTACCCTGTTCAGTGAATGAAGTAATGTGCCTTAATAAAAGTAGTGACAATCACATCCCTAGATTGCAGTCAAAAAGTGACTGAGCAGAACCTTTGTTCTAGCATGCTCAGCATCTAACAGTTTGATTAAGTAACCTTAGTAAGGGTCTTTGGAGAAGAGGGTGGGAGGGATGATTTCTTTTTGAAGGTAATAACAGAGAGTCCATCAAAACTGTTAGTCTACTCCCTCTTTGAATGAAAACTAGAGAAAAAAGCAGTTAGGGTACTCCAAGTTTAACTTAATTGCTAAGCCTTTAGTTGCTCTATTTCTGATCCACCACAAATTGAAATGGTTCCAGGTGGGCCAAGGTATTTCAGTGAGTACTTTATACGGTAGCTTCCAGCTGTGCTTTAAGGTTCACACAGGGAATATTTGCTAATGGGAATAAATGGTAGGCTGCAATCAGGCTGTCAGCTATTTAGGGGGGCAGAAAGCAAACAAGAGAGTGATGTTCAGGCTTGCAGGTCATCAGTGTATGTTCAGCAGAAGTCCCTGAGGGGACTGTTCTAGTATCCCAGACTTCACTACTTCTGCAGGAACACTGCCCCTTCCAGACACTGCTGTGGCCATCTCAAATGTGAACTCTCTCCTTACTCTTCCCCTTCCCCATGCTTTAATCTACAGAAAGATTAACCCAGTGGGAATAAGCACACCACAGAGAGGCTTTCAACTTCAAACAAGCCCTGGTACACTGTGGCAGATAAGTGAAATGATACAAATTCCCCTCAAATAGTCTGCCCCATTGTGGTGCTGTTGTTATTGCTATTATTATTATTATTATTATTGTCATCATCATAATTTTTTACTTTTAGTCACTAATACCACTTATTTTCTACTATTTAATATATGTTCAGACCAAATTCCTAGCTTTCTCATGCTTTCTGGGGGAATTCATTGGCAAATAATGTTTCAACACATTGCTATACCCTGTGCCACTGCTTCAGGCATAATGAAATACCTCTCTTACACTGGCATGACTGTAGGACTCTCACCGTACTCACTCAGCTTTACATAACTTGTTTGCAAGATCCATGCTCTGCCTGCTTTTTCCCCATTTCAAACTACCAAGATGCCTTCCGAAACCAGCCCCATTCAGGCAACTGCAAAGTCAACAAGCTTGTTTACATGGGAGGCCAAAAACTGATGCAATGGGTCAAACCCTGGTCTCATTTACACCTATACTGAATGTGGATCTGTTCTTCTCCATACTGTGCGCTGTGGCTGTGCCTCAGTTCTGAATCTCAGGAACTTTTGGGTCAGATATGTTGCCAATATGCAGTTGTCTAATCTCTGGCACGCAGTTTTGAAATAGCTTAGCCATGATTCTCTGAGGAAGTTTGATTCGGTGTGATGGAGATCAGAAACTGAAGAAGAAAGAATTATCCTGGGGAAAAACCAAAATGTATCTTGTAGAAATGCAGGGAGATACATGCAAATTATTTCCAAGCTGCCTAGTCCCACAGTAAACCAAGTAGTCAGAAATTACAATGAATTAAAGATTTAAAGCTTTTGGTAGTTATAGGAAATTTCGTTTTGATTTACAAAGACTTCTTGTAGACTCAAGTGTGTGACTGAAATACTTTTCCTCTCTTTGAAGCCCTACTTACCTACCCACAGGTAACAAATGGCGTTCAGTAATAGAAATATAGTGTTGTTCTTTTGTAATTTATTGTCTTACTCATTTTCACATGACCACAGATTTCTGTTTTGAAGAAGTTGGGTTTTGATTTTTGAAAGTAGCACAGATACTTTGCATTCATTTTCCACGTCATTTGGATGCGCAGTTATATTGACAAATGTGTGTCTTCTGTGGTGACATGGTTATAACATGTAAGGAGCAATAGCCACCGTGTAATGTTAATTGCGTAAGACAGCCAGCAGAAAGGACTGTGAGACTGTCTGCCTTTTCAGCTGAATCTCAGGAGTAACTTGGTAAAGCAGGTAAGAGTTGTGCCAGTACAGACCAGCGTGAGAGGAGAATTAGACCCACTGCAAGCACAGACGCTAAATATGTGTTGTATAGGCAAAGCATGATGTCATTTTCCTTTTTTTCATTACACCCTATCAATATAATAAAAAAATGTGGAGGAAGTCCTGTTTTCTCCCTGTGTCAATTGTTGACCATCAGGAAGGGTGATTCAGCATTTCATCATCAGTAATAAAAGCACGAAGTCGCAGAAGTCAATATCGGTTTGGGCATGTGTTATTGAAAAGAAACTATAACTGAAAAAATCCTCACAGCACAGTAATCCAAGTGCAACCACGCAGAAAAAAACCCCAAAAAACAGGGATGTGTTCTTCTAGTAAATCCTGTGTTTACTAGGAAAAAAGACCCCAGGAACGAGGCTAGACGTCTGCACGTACCCAAGCAGTGAGGCGCCGTGCATTGGCCTCAGCCAAGAGGGGCCGGGCAGGCAACAAGCGGGGAGCAGGCGCTGACCCCACTCCATGGGAGTCCATGGGGTGCACCCCACACTCCACCCCATTCACTCCCCATCTCTCCAGCAGTCCCAGTAGGAAGGCGGGGAGGATGTCAGTTCCCTGTTCTACAAGAAGCGCACAAGTGAAACGTCTGAGCCTGGCTCTCTGCAACCAGCCCCAGCTCCTCCAGCCTGCCTCTGTCTGGCTTGAAAGTGGCCACTTCAGGAACCCCTTCCCCTGAAAGCAGTCCTGTCAAGGCTCGGATTTTGTCACCAACTTGATGAGCCCTTGCCTAAAGTGCTTCTTTCAGATGTAGCATTTCACTGAATGAAGTCAGCAGCATGTACATGGAGTTAACTACTCAAATAACTGAGAGCTACATGAGTACTTTCAGATGCAGTATCCTTCTGACTAATACTCCTATCATGTCTGACTAATGAGGGCCGGTTAAAATGTCAAAAGTTTTGGGGGGGTTTTTTGATACCTTGTTTCTTACTCACTCTCACAGTAGATGGTAATGAACTGACATGTTGTTTACTCATTCCATTTGTACAGTCCTAAGCGGATAAAAGAGTTGCTGCAGCTTCACTGCTTCTGGGTAGTTTAGGAAGTCTTACAGGTGTATGAATAAGATTGACTGTTCCTGCCTGGAAGCAGACAGACTCAGCTCTGTCATTTAAGAGTAGGTCCACCTTGAAGCTAATGCAGATCTACTGTGTCCAAGTGGGAGAAGTCTGCTTCTGTAAAGCAAAATTTCTCCTGGAGCTCCCCTACCTGCGGCACTGAACTTTTCCACTGTCAGTGAAGAAGAGCAAGGTCAGACTCATGGCATCCTCACTGCCCCACTCAGGGATGTGCAAGGAGCCCTTTCTGCACCCTCTGAGCACTGGCCCAGGGAGGTGAGAGCAGCAGTCCCTAGGTGCATGGGTGGGCAAAAGTAAGAGAACTGGCTTAGCCCTCTCACACACCCCTGGAGCTACCTCTTACCCACAAAACCTGGCCCTCCACTGATTGCCTGGGTCCCCAGGGCAGCTCCAGAGCTTGGGTGCTCCTTCAGTGGCTCCCTCAGCCATGCATGGCTGTCATGCCAAGCCCTTTCACAATAGCAAAGGGATTTTGCTTGATGGTCATGAGGCAGAGACTTCGTTGATAAGACTATCATACAACAGAGCATGATCCAATATGTATCTAAAGGCAGCGATAGCCTAGGAAAGAGCCTGGGGAAATTTGGAGAAATGCCTAAAATGGAGAGGCTGTAAAGAAAATGAATGTATAAATGTATATTAAAAAAAATAGGCAAGGCAAAGAATGTTGTCAATATTTACTCTACTGCAACTGGCCTCCCCGTCAGTTCTTTCAGGTCATTTGTTAAATGCATGGAAACTATCGATTTTGTCTAATTAAAACATTTCCATGCATTTCGCAGGGACAAACGCTAAGCACGGACTGCGCTGCAAGGCTTGTAAGATGAGCATCCACCACAAGTGTGTAGACAGTATTGGACAACAGCGTTGCATGGGCAAGCTGGTAAGTGAGCAGCTCAGGGTAGCAAGTGTAGTGGGAGGCACCAGCTTGTGCTGGAGCCACTTGCTTTGTATGCCTGAGCCCCTGGCTGGCATTTAGATGGTGCATTAACAGAACTGACACCAGGTCACTTTACTGAGGTGGGAAAACTAAAGCCAAGTGGTGCCCTGTTATCAATTTGGGCAATTGTTGGTACTCAAAAACCTAAACAAGAATGAAACACAAATCTAGTCTGCATTGTGGATGTGAAAATACAGTTACATAATCCAAATTTAGCTAAATAACAGAATTAATTGCCTTGATTTAAACTGTGCTTGCTGTAGTGTAAATCTCTCAAGGAACACTATAAATTAGTCAAAATATTTCAATGGAGCTTAACAAACGAAAAATCCTTCAAATTATGTTTTATTGGTTTTTTCACCGTTAGGGCTTGAAGAAAAACCATAATTCATCTTAAAAAGAAAACCAAAGGATACTTCACAGTGAGACATTACAGAGTTTGAAGCAGTCTCTCAGTAGGAGAGGCTGGGCGGAGACCTGCCCCTGTATGGACACAGCACCTTAGTGCCCGGGTCACCTTCTGAGCAGCAAATTCTCATTATTGGCAAAGGCAGGACACTACGTTTGAGGCGATTCTAACCCAACTTGGTGTCTTTCAGAGGAATATGGTTCTTTTGGTTACTCCTAGAAAAAGAACTTGGAAAAATGACCATTTGGAATATGAAAATGGAATATTCATGTTTCAGACGTTCTCAGATTAGTTGCAACCTGAAAGCACCTGAGACAAATACGAGCTACACACAAACAGTTTCACTGTGTTAAATGATGAAAAAAATGCAAGCGTTGACTTCAAAAGGGCTAGAAAACCCACCTGTCCCTGGAAAGATCTTTTCTTTCCAAAAGTATTCAGTGAATGCTGTTGCTGTTTATAAACCTGAGGAAAATCTTTATGCATTTAAACCATAATCGTAGCCATATAGGAAGTAGGTCTGTGAAGAGCTGAATGACCTCATTGCAAGCCTTGGACAAGCCAAACATTAAATCATGTGAATTGTTTCACGCATTCCTTGATTCCAGCCTCAGCTCTTGTGGTCACTATTTTTAAAAAGCAGAAAAGTAGATGCCAAATTTACAGCAGGAAGTTGTCCAGCGAAGTCATGGGAGTTTTATGAGCTCATGTTGTGTCTGGATCTAGTTTGTTTGGGGGCAAACTGAGGCTGGGGAATCTGGAATTTATTCCTCTAAGAAACCAAATTTATCAATCCCCTCATTCCTTCTCAATCTATACTGCAGCTCATTAGCAAAAGAAGCAGTTGCCTATCATTTTTTGGTGTATACTGAACATAGGACACAGAAAATATGCACATCCCCACGAGGCTTTCACACTTCTCACTGTGACTGGAAGATCTCACAGCCTGCAAAGATTAGACATCTGAGAGACCGTTTGTGAATCTCTGGTATCTTGAAGGGTATTTCCAAAGACTTAGATGTTAGCACCTTCATTTTGGGTACTCATCTGGTGACGACTTGGGGAGCTCTTTGACCTTACAAGACAAAAAAGCAGTGGAAGCTGCAGTCAGTCAGCATCAAACCTTAGAAAAACCTATAGAAAGGCTCTAAATTCCTTGGGTTTCACAAGTGCATATATGGGAACATGAGGATTTGGAGTTAGGGTAGGGAAGAATAGTCGCATGTTTAGCAAATGCAAAACAATGCAAATTCACATTACATAAGAAGAAAGGGAGAGGGAAACTTCCCAGAACCTCTAATGATTCAGCACTTCTGCTGCCATTAATTAGTGCTGCTTTTATGTAAGACAAAAGAAAAAGGGGGGCTGAAAATGAGTCCCTCCTCCTTCCACATAAATACGGGAAATTGTTTTTTTCCAGGAAAAAAATCAAATAAATCCCTGATCTATAAACCCCACAGTGACTCAAAAACAGGAGGCAAATTTCCAGCCTCACCACACTGTTACACCACTAGCCAAAGAGCTGAGGTTATTTCTACTACGTCAGTCATGGCAGCAATGCACTTCATTTGTTTTTGCTTTCTCTCCCTCCAGCCAAAGGGATTTCGACGGTACTACAGCTCACCACTACTCATTCATGAACAGTTTGGCTGCATCAAAGAAGTGATGCCTATTGGTAGGTTTTGATTGCTTTTCCATTCAGTCTCCCTTTGGCAGTGCTCTGCAACAGCAGCGGCAGACTTCCAGCCGTGGTATTTACCCTCAGCAGCCTTCCAGCTCCTTTCGGTGACTGGATGTCCTTCTGCCATCTCAGGAAAGGACCACTTCAAAGATACAAAGCTGGAAGAGGAGAGGGTGTGTTTATTGTGCGTTTCACTCAAAACCCCTACATATAACCTCTTAGTAATCACCCTGTTTATAATAATAGCTACCTGAGCTCAAGGTAGGAACTTAAAAGGGAGGAAACACTGGAATATTGAGGTGAAGCTCTGAGCTGGGAAGAACCAGATAAAAGACAGAGGGATCAAAACAGCGGGAGGCATTCAAACCACTGGTCTGGCTTTTGAGGGACTTTGCGAGGTTCCTGTCCTTTTTCACCCACACTGCTTACTTTCTTCATATTTTTCCTTATTGGCCATGTCTACACTTTGCCGAGTATTTAAAAGACCAGATTTTGCTCACTGTAATACCAAATTCCTGAAAAGAAACATTTTGAAATGGACAAGTTGAGTTGATTCTGGAGAATACTTCTCCCCACCAGTACTCTGACCAGGCAAGTCTGTCAGGACAAAAAATGAAAGCCAAAACTAGGCAGTCAGTTTAAAATTACTTGTCTGAGGACATTTACTTTGTGGTTTTCAACAACAACAACAACAAAAGTTAATTACGTGGATTTCATCTAAGTTTCTCTTTCTAAAAAACATCCGTCATTTTTGTCAGAAGTAATAGAAACATTTTGAACAAACTCGGGCTAAAAAATGAGCTGTGCTTTGCTCTCATCAAAATTCAAAATCCCATGTATTTTCTCAGTACTTTAGCGAAAATTTTCCTTCTTCTACACAGTGCTACAAATGTACTGTATTGTACGCGTCTACTGCCTTGTACTGCAAGGGAGGCTAAGGTCTAAAAATGCAGTATGTAGAAGAGGATTTGAACCGGATTTGCTCATGCCAATTGAAGACATACATTTCTCTGCCATGGGAGATGACTTTGGGGCCAGCTATGAGGGAGAGCGGGAGTGAGAATTGAACGAACATACGCCACTGGGGGTGGTGGCCTTTCTGGCTACCCCTAGACTGAGCTGAGCAACCTGGAGCACATTCCCAACAGCAGGTACCTACTCACACCTGCCTCCAGACCACATATGGCCCCACAAAGGGGATGTCAGTACCTTCCAAGGAAGATCCAGACCATCCTGTTTATCCAAATAAGACAAGTAGTAGCACTGTGCAGGTAGATGGATAAAGGTGATGGCCTACTCATACCACAAGGATGCTCAGGCACAATGCAGGGTTTTTCCTGACAAGCATCTACTGTTGAGAGCAGTTCAAGAGGTCAGTGGTAGGAACAGGCAGCAAACACGGATTAAAGCCTCCTGGTATTTTGTCTTCCTTACCTCAGTGTAGGCAGCATCAGTGGTGATTAGAGAAGGAGGATGGCAGGTGAAGAGAGACAAGGCAATGGTGGGGACCCGAAGAGCCTGTATGAGAGGAGGATGATCTTTATGGGAGCAGAGAGGCAGCAGAACATTGCTAGCAAAAGCCAGTTCCACTAAGTTCATCACACACTTTTTATCAGAATAGTCTCTCAAATCGTGTCTAAGCATACACCCCAACATGTTGGTAGAGGCAGGTGTTTCTCTAAGTGGAGCAGGAACACGACCAGAAATATCTTCAAGGGACTGATGCATGTTTTGCTCCTTCTATTGCAGCCTGTGGAAATAAGGTTGACCCTGTGTATGAAACTCTCCGCTTTGGAACTTCCTTAGCTCAGAAAACCAAAAAGGGCAGTTCTGGAAGTGGGTCTGACTCTCCCAACAGAAACTCTGTAAGTATCTCGTATCTTTCTTCCATTTTCTTTGTGTAGGAGCAACAGATATTCATTCACAGGAGTTTGTATCAGAGTTCACAAAACTTGTATTTTAACTGTAAAAAAAAAATCTCACTCCCATCTTCCAAAATGAGATCGTTATTTTAAAACCCAAGTTTTAAGTATCTTTTAGATTCTTGAGAAAAAGAGAAGAATACAAATTAAATTAATAACCTTCTTTTATCGGGTTGGAAAAGGAAATTATATTCTTTTGATTTTGCATATCTGTGTAAAAGTGGAACAGAGATATTTAACTGTCATGCTGGAGTAGACGCATACTGCCTCTTGGTGGTGGTGGGCATTTACCCTTCATACAAGTGATAGCGATGGATTGGAGTCCTCAGAGCCTACATTTAAAAGTGCAAGCTCCACAGTACAAGCCCAGCCAAAATTAAGCCACTGCTACTGCAACAAGGCAATGGACTGGCACCTCCACCCCTGCCCAGTGTAGACTCAGGAGGACGGCATCATAGAGTTGGGCTCCTCTTTCCAAAACTCAAATACAGGCAGGTGTGCTCAGCTTACTGTATCCAGACAGGGAGATTTTCACCTTCATGTTAATTCTTGTCATTCACTCTCTCCTATCATAACAGTCACTTCTTCAGGACCATGACAGAAGAGCTGGAGAACAAGGGAAATTATAATTTCCTTAGCCCTGCCTTTGCTAAATCCATACCAGCTCAACAATAACACTGATCAATTTCCTCCTTACAGAAATGGTTATTTCAACAGTATTGGGACCCATGAGATCAGGAGCTCATGCATGATGTCGAAAGAACGTTTCATACCCTCTCACCTCTCATAAACAGGCATTTAAGCCTGTGCTTGAGGCTCTCTTTTTTCCCAAGAAATCCTCCCCACTCCCCGCCCCTTTTTTTTCCCCCCCAAAAAAAATCACACCTGAATACACTGGAGGCTAAAGCTGATCGTCATGTCTAAAAATCAGACCCACATTATCTGACAATCTCTCCTGCACTCACCCCAGAATAAAAATCACCAGGTACAGAGACATGATGAGACTTGGTCTCCAGGCCTCAGAGCAAATACTTACATGTTTAATTTAAAGTTGTGCTCAAATCTGTTTATGTTTGGTACAACATCTCCCTGGCACTTAAACGTATGCTCACTCACATGGCTGAACTGTAACCTCAGGTGCTATAAGTGGCCTCTAAACAGACGTTCATTTGTGTCAGATGGGAAAGAAGACAGACAAATTTAAACAAGAACTAAGTGAAATCTGCAAGGGAGTTATTAGAGGACATGTCCTCTATCCGCCCTTGTTTGTACCTTAAAAGGAATTTGGTAATTTCTAGTCTTGTTTAAAACCCAAAGAGAGACTACCACCTGTCGCATTGTGATTACAGTTCTTTCTTTCAATTATTTAATTTACTTTGAAACAGAAGTTCTACAAATGTAATTATTGCTTTCTAAATCAATAAAGCATTATGTTGAATTATGAATGACAACTCAGGAGTAGAAATCACGAATGCTGTGTCATCTTGCCCTAGGGAGCTGATCATAACTACGTGGGATGTGGGTGTAGAATGAGGAATGCAAGTTCATTATGGGAATTTCTCCAGGGTATTGAGGCTGAGGGAGAATATAACACGTGTCAGCATACAGAAAATAGAAAACATTAGAGAACTGAATAAACAGATGTGTGAAACCATAACTTCTGCCAGTGCAAGCCTGTGGATTGAGACAAGGATAAAAACCAGGGGGGGATAAAAACCGGGGGAGACACAACCCTGATCCAAATGATGAGGCCATGGAGCTTTACATCTGTGATGTGTGTCCCAGGAGCAGGCGCTGACCAGTGACCAGAGCAGGGACGTGACACAGAGCCCTTAGAGCCCAGGTGAAAATGCACCAGAGCATGTGAGCTAGTAGCACATGTGCAGTTAATAACACACAGGGACTAAGGTTTTTCCCCAGTGGTCCTCACTTCCATGCTGCTCTGCTCCTCTCAATGCAGAAGCAGCAATGCAGCTGTGAGGCTCTCGACAGCACTGAGGCTTTGCGGCTGGGCCCTGCCCCAGCCCCAGGAGCTGGGGAGTTCTTCAAGGTTCTGCCATGTGATGAAAACAAGGTCACCAGGGACATGGTGACACCTGGGATCCTACTGCACCTCGCAGGTGGTGTCCAAGCTGTCAAAGGGATTGCTCTGGGTCATAGCTGCTCCTGCTAAGGTAGTTAAAAGCAAAGGCAACTAGCCTAGGAGCCGTGCCCTGCCTCTACAGCCATGAAGCTTCCAGGATTGCAGTTCATGTCTCTGCACAGAGTAGCAATAACCCTCTTGCTCTGGACTAGCCAAGATATTTTTAACATGACTGAGCAGTGTGGACGGCCCACTGTGATTTTTCAGCCTGGATTCTGCATTTCCCATAAAAGAAAGTGGCCATATGCTCCAGATTTACTACCTACTGCTTCCTTCAAAAATGTGCTTCTGCAACCCACATTTATACAGAAAGTCACTTGAGGTGATGTAAATGTGATTCCAGATCTTGTTAGTTTTTTGTGGATCAGCTCCTCTCAAAAGCAGCTTTGTACCTCTGTAATTTCTATTAGGCCATTTGTCATATAGCTCTTGACTGAAAAATCATTAAAGGTAACTGAGGTTACTTCAGGAGGTTTTGGATGAGGTATATACTGAAGAGACAGTTACTGCACATCCTATATGCAGTAGTACCCAACAAAATATGAAGCTAATCAGCAATTATGAAGCTAGTCTATGAAGGCTGAGGAACATGCCATAGCAATGAGCTGAAAAATAGCTAGGACTTATTAATTCAACAAAGCTAGTCTTTCCTTTTCCCACCCAGCAACGAGAAATCCCTAGATATGCTCTACGCTGACTCCGTGTTAGCACTGCTATTGCGGTGCCTTCTCATGCAGGGGTGACACATTTGTGCAAGATGCAAGACAAGCATGAAATGCTACAAAAGGCTGAGTCTAAAACCAAGCCATAACAGAGGAGTAAAGTAGAAGGCTCTTAAAATAGCAAGGGAAACAAGATAACCACAAGACACCTGTGGCATAAATCTACTTTTAACCTCTTTGTTCATTAGTATCCTTGGATGGAGAAGTAGCTAGGAAAGTACTAGATAGGGGAAATAAAATTGTCAAAGTACTTTCTAAAAAACGCTTTGTTGTCAACACTAGTAAAAGGAAAAAAACATATAAAAATCTGCAAAGCAATTCAGATTTTATACTACCTGAACAAAGGCAGTGAAGGTTCCTCGTTTGGCTTTTCTTCCTGTGACGCAGGCAAAGGTCTGCAAAACAATGGACAGAGCTATGTGTACAGTATAATTCTAGTGTGTCATGGAATAATTAAGTTAAATCCTTCCATGTGTCTTAAAATACTGTTAACAAGTAAATAAAGCTTAGGAGCTTATAAGGATTTACAGTTTTTCACATTAGAGAGCACCTGACTCAAATTCAATTTGGTATTTTTATGGTTATAAAAGACATTTTACCCAAAAGAAGTCATGTGTGGAGAGTTCAGACACTGAAACTCCGTAAGGTCAGATTCGGACAGAGCTGTTTGGAGCAGCTCCTGGTTCCCGTTGGGCTATACATGGAGAAGCCAACTACCCAACCAAGGAATCTGGTGCTTTATGCAGAGTATACTTCTGAGGCTTGGGATTGTGTTATCCCACGTTTTCCTACACCCTAGAACAATGGGTCCCTAATCATGATTGACATTAATGTGGTACAAATAAGAAATCATAGTAGTTCTAATAACAACATTTGGGTTTCATTTTTCCCTAACCATACCAGCCAGATGACTGTTTAAAAAGAAAGTGAGGGCAGATATTTAAAGACTGACTTCACCAACTCCATACACTCCAGCTCCTTCTTTCACAGCATGTTAACAGAATTAAAATCACCCTTACATTACATTTATTTTATTGAATAATGTATTCAGGGTTAATAAATTAATAGTCAATAATTTCAATTAATGTCCAGTCTCCTTGGTAGACAGCTGTTTAGTATACCTGCAGGATCTACAAATTCCCCAAAGCCCCCTCTATTTTATACAGAGAACCACATTGTTTAACATAATCCTTTGTTCCTTAACTTTCACTTCGCTTTATACTGCAGAAATCTTTTGTACTTCAGACTGGAAACTTGGTCTGGAGTTCTTTCTGGGCTTTCACTGCTCCCTGTGAAGTAGTTATTTGTTGTGCATCACCAGATACAATGTTTTCTGCAATCCCGTTAGGCTGACTTCCTCTGCTCTGATAGCACCCAAGTGCTACATTCCCTCGTGTGGTCTTATTTCACCTCATCACTCGCTTTCTCTGGCTTATCCCATCTCATCTGCTCTTTCTGTCCCTGCAGACAGCTGACCTGGCAGAAGTTCCTGAGGAAGGCGATAGCTCTGCAGGCACCCTTGACATAAGCAGGAAACGCAGCAACAGCGGTGAGTGCTGCCAGGCCAGGATATCATCTTCAAATGTATAGGCCTGTGTACAATCTATTATTTCAGACCTTTTTTTATGGCATGTCCACGTTTTAGCAGCATTCTGGTTTTCAAAGTGGGAGGTGAGTGGGGCATGTAGTTGGTGCAAGAATTTGGGGAATGCTTTTTGCCATTCAGATTAAATCCAAGCCACCAGTTTTCTCAATTTGTTGTGTCCAGACCTGACACTGGACAAGGTTTGGGTCCATTCCCTATCTCCTATTCTTCATGAACATGACTGTAGACTGCTCACTTAACATGCTTCAGTTCCACATCGGCAGAGTGAAACAAAAATAATACTTACTTTCTCTTCCATATGTTTAATTTGTCTACATGTCTCTATATACCATAATCTCTTTGGGACAGGAAATGAATCATATAATATCCATATGTCTGTAAAATATTATCCAACACAATGAATCCTGATTATAATTGCAGCTTCTTAGTACAACTATAGTATGTGCCCAGTAATATTAATAGCCCAATTCTTTTGTCTGTTTGCAGTACAGGAGTAATGTTTTTACAGCATTGGTATGATGGGATTTTGAGACCATCATGCCAACTGAGCACTTAGTAATGAAATCTCAGCCACTGAGGGATGGTGTTTGTGACCCTGTTCTTGAATTCAGTCATGGTGAGGGAAGTGATAAGTACAAAGGGGTTTGGAGCACTAAGCAAAACTTCAGGCCCAAACCATCAGAGCAACTTCTCTAACAGCACCTGAAGGCTGCTTTGATGAATCTCACATGAGATGTACACCACAAAAATAAATCACAGTGAGCATAGTTTTCTTCTGTTAGACTCCCAGTGCTCCTTAGATGCCGCTAGCAATTCACGTAGGTGAAATGCCAGCTTCAGCTGTCCATTCCCATTTTATGCTACCTCCTCATTCCTTTCCTCCCCTCTTGGTCCTATCACTTCTCACTGTATTCAGTCATTTCCTCCTTCTCGTTTTGTGAACATCCCATCTATGTTATCTGCTTTCTCCTGACAATTTATTCAATTTATTTAGGTTTTCTGCCTTGCAAGTGCGAGTTGACCTGACCTGGTTAAAAATAAAGAATTCAGTCTGCTTCACATTGTTTAATCCTGCCCACCTGAGATTAATTTGGCCCTGTTTGAGTTTTCAGATAACTTTTTATTTCATTGTCGATCAGTAGTTTCATTTCTGAAACCCAAAGAAACTTTTTTCTCTGAGATCTGCATTCACTGCATGTACTGAGAGGCATTCAAGGAACTTACTCAATGAGATTAGTTTAAAAACTCAGCATGTGTCAAACCTCCAAATAACTTCCGCGGCACATTAACGATTCCTTTGATCAGCACTGGCTTTTTTACAATCCATCCTTCAGAGGCTCAGGGTATAAATTATGCATCAGTCACTCCAAAAATTTCCCCTTGGTAGATTTTTAATAAACTGCCCGCACTGTTTGCACAAGCTATGGAAATGATAAAATCCTTTCAGACTGTAAAAACCCCTACTTTTTTTTTTTTTTTTTTGTCTGCTGCTGCTAGAGCGAACAAATAGGAAAATAAATGGATTTCTGCTGTGTGGAGACGTGAACTACATACATACCTCTATGGTCTTCAGATTCAAGTGCCTCCTAGTAATATCCAGAGGCCATGGGCTGAACAGAGATTAAAAATTTAACAAAGTAAATTCAAAATATTGTTACAGGGTGATTCACCACTCCTTTTTCCTCAGTTGCCCATTGCCTCTTCAGGAGGCAGTTCCACATTAATGCCTTGATGAATTAGGTCCATTCCAGTTCTTTTTTTTTTTCCATTAAAAAACTGTCTTCTGCAAATAAGATTTTAGGAAAATGTACGTTTGAGACTCTTTGCTTAAAGGGAAACAGCAGAAGAGGCAGAGCCTGCAGAAGGGTGAAAGGACACAGCATATGTCTGGCCATCTAATCGCTCCTGTAGACTCCTATGACAACAACTTCAAGGGAAGATTTTTTTTCATTCAGGCCCAGGCATACACACTATGAAACAAAGCTTCCTAGTTTACAAATGTAAAATGGCATACCTAATTTCCTGCCCTTCAGCCTCCTCTAAGCCAGTTATACTCCTTCACTGCTGTGAATTGCCATCTGTAACAGAAGTCCTGCAAGCCAAAATATACTTTAAGTGGCATGTATGAGCCTGTTATCAACAGGGATTTGAGCACTTGCCCCTCAAGTCAAACATGGGATGTTCTCCCTGCAAACGCGGGTTTGGTGAGCACTTCTCAGCAAACACAAGGACACAGTCCAGCTCCCTCCCCACCTGCTGGGTCAGCTCCACAGCTCACAAGGCTGTACATTAATAACTCAGCTTTATTTTCTATCACCAAGCAGAAATTAATTCAAACATGCTGCTGAAATACTTCCACTTTGCCTGGTGAATGACTTTCTGTAAGCTCCTTGTTACCCAACCCATTATTCACCAGAACTTTTTCTATTTGCCTCCCTAACTCCTTTTCCTCTGGACACACAAAACGTAGTAATTTGAGTAGGACTTAAACACTGCCAGGTAGTAATGGCAGCATTTTACATCCCTTTATACAGATGTTGAATATTCATATACCTCTATACTAGAAGATACAGGAAATGAATTTTATTTTTAAAAGGTTTTCCCTCTGGTACTCGTGGCAGTTTGCAGGGTCAGAGTCCCTCTACAACAGGACTTGGTGAGGAGCACAGTGAGGCCCCCAGGTCAGCTGCAGTCAGACCAGCTGGACACAAACTGGGGCATTTTCAGGTTAAATGCTGCAGGTATTAGCTCACATACTGTCTTTGCATTCACACATTGCACTTTATGACTACAATATTGTCTTACATTTTATCAGAGAACATGTGCTTGTGTGTGCTCGTGGATGAGTGTCACTTTGTACAAAATCTTTCTCATGCGTGCTGTGGTTACCATTTTAGCTATCTTTTCTCCGTTACAAGAACACTAGAGTTTTTCAATGTCTAAATACAACTCTCTACTATCAAGGAACCTTACTATTTCACTCATAAAACTTCTTCAAAGACTCTTTGTTTGGTTGTCAAATGTAGAATAGCCACAGAAATATGTGTTAATGGAAGAAAGGGTAAGCAAGTGAAAGAGCAGAGGGGGAAAGAAACTGAGCAGTTTGGTGTTCCCTGGCACGTTCTTTCCCCTGAACGTGTGTTAACTGTATCACAGAGAAACAAAAAGGAAATGCAGCCTGCTACTTATTACCATTTTGGAGATTTCCAAATTGTCAGAGACCACAAAATCCAGCTTCTGCCCAAAACACCTGCAGAGTTAAATGGTGGGAGAAGATGCTGATGCTTCTAGCTGTTCAAAGATTCCAGCTATTAAAATCGTATTCAGACTTTATCCAGAAGCAAGAAACACCAGGCAATTCTTAAAATGTGAAGGGGGAATTCAGTCAATGTAATAAAGCCACTGTGGTTTTTCTAGGGAAATAACTGAGGACAGGCATCAGTCAGCTCATGAAGTAATTACAATAAAGGGTAACTGATTAGATATCAGGTATGTTAGGTTGAAATCTACAAGAAGGGCTTAAAGGAGGATCCAGGAAATTATAGGCCCATCAGTCTTACTCCAGCCCCTGGGAAAGTTATGGAACGAATCCTCCTGGGGGCTATCACAAGTCAAATTGATTGGGAAAAGCCAGCACGGATTCACCAAGGGCAAATCGTGCTTGACAAACCTGATCGCCTTCTACAACAAAGTAACCTACTCGGTTGATGTGGGGTGAGTGGTGGACATGGTCTACCTGGATTTCTCCAAGGTTTTGATAAGGTTTCCCACAGCCTCCTCCTAGAGAAGCTGATGTGTTACGGTCTAGACAAGTGGTCTGTGGGGTGGGTGGGGAGCTGGCTGACAGGCCGCACCCAAGGGTGGTGGTAAACAGCTCCTTTTCAAACCGGCAACCTGTCACAAGTGGAGTCCCCCAGGGATCGATATTGGGCCCAATGCTGTTTAATATCTTCATAAATGATCTGGATGATGGGATCAAGTGTACCCTGATGAAATTTGCTGATGATACCAAACTGAATGGAGAAGTGGACACTTCGGAAGGGAGAGCCACCCTGCGGGAAGACCTGGATAGGCTGGAAGAGTGGGTTAACAAGATCCTTACGAAGTTTGACAAGGACAAGTGTAAGGTCTTGCACCTGGGAAAACATAACCCAGGAGCGCAGCACTGGCTGGGATCTACCTGGCTGGGGAGCAGCTCTGTGGAAAGGGACCTAGGGGTCCTGGTTGACAACAAGCTCAATATGAGCAAACAGTGTGCTGCTGCAGCAAAGAAAGCAACAGGATGCTGGGTTGCAACAAGGACATCACCAGCAGAGATAAAGAAGTCATTATCTGACTCTGCTCAGCGCTCGTGAAGCCACACCTGGAATGCTGTGTTCAGTTTTGGTCCCCGCTATGCAAAAAAGATGTGGACAGGCTGGAGAGGGTCCAGAGACGGGCCACAAAGATGATCAAAGGACTGGGAAGCCTGCCATATGAGGAAAGGCTGAGAGAACTGGGTTTGTTCAGCCTTGAGAAAAGAAGGCTTAGGGGAGGCCTTATCACCATGTTCCAGTATTTAAAGGGTGGCTATAAAGAAGATGGAGACTCCCTTTTTACAAGAAGTCACATGGAAAAGACAAGGGATAATGGGTACAAGTTACTCCTGGAGACATTGAGACACAAGAGGAAAATTTTTCACGAGAACAATCGGCCATTGGAATAATCTCCCCAGGGAAGAGGTGGATTCCCCAACATTGGACACTTTTAAGATTCAGATGGACAGGATGCTGGGCCATCTTGTCTAGACTGTGCTTTTGCCAAGAAAGGTTGGACCAGATGATCCTTGAGGTCCCCTCCAACCTGGGATTCTATGATTCTATGATTAGGTGCTGTGACCATTGTCTTATTCTGTGAGTTTCTGATTTAGTAACTTAGAAACAAATTTTCACATATACAGCCCTGTGTCTCAGATAACCCATCCCGATTCCAAAGCAACTCAGGTACCTCCTATAAAATCAGAGAGAGAAGCAGCATATCCAGTGCCCCCCAGGCAGGGACTACTGGAGAGAGAGATCAAAGAAGGCTATCAAACATTTAGAGATAGAGGGTTGAAGAGGGGGAAGAAGGGGTTTTGCGTACAAACTTCCCGCAGTGTTGCTCATATATGGTCATCAGGTTTTGCAAGTGCTTTTAAACGGAAATACTGCTCGTCCTAAACGTGAAAATACAGCATTCAGTGTGAGGAAAAGGCTGCTGGACTTTAAATAGTAATGCAATTAGGGGACCTAGGTTCTATTCCCAGTGCTGTACTTGTGTATATTCATCTGATCAAAATGGTTTATTTGTTATGATTGTCAATTCTTCAGGACAGAGATTGTTTTGTGCCATGTGCCAGTGGTATATGTGGTTTTGTTGGGGGTGTAGAAAGGTTCAGAGGAGAGCACAAGGGATCAAAGAAGGTAAGGGGGAAAGGGAAGATATTAGCAAAATAAAAGTGATCCTGTTGAGGTGAAGAGTCTTAAACTACTCCTAAAACGTCATGTGTTTGCTTTATTTCAGTGTTTACATACTCCGAAAATGGCACAGAACACTTTGGAGAAGAACCAAAAAGTATACATTCCCCGGTATGGGCATAAATTTTGTGAGAATGCAATGGGAATGCAAAGTCATTTAAAAGACTTGTTTTTATGGATAGCTGAGGACCTTGAGTAGGTCTGCTGGGGCACTATTCTGGAGAAGCATCAATATCTGACTGTCATGTTCTTATACTATTTCTGGGCCACTGGCCACAGTTGGAAGCAATATACAGGACTGGATGGCTCTTTGATTTACCCATTATGGTCCCTTTTATGTTCTTTTGTTTATTACAAATTGATATTGTGAACACAAAAGATCCAGTGGGGAGGCCATGTCATTACAATAGAACTGCAGTAAAGTAAAAATCATGGATTTGATTTGAAAAATTATTTGGGGGTTGGTTTAGGTGCTTTTTTTTCTCCAGATTACCAGTGGAGAAAGGGAGGAGAGAGAGTAGCCAGTCTTCTCTGTGGGAAGCCCAATGCAAGCAGCTTTCTATTTAAAAAAATGATTTTCCCACCCTGTTTTTTGGACCTGTGCACTGTACAACTCTAGCACTGTACAATGCATCCATAATGAGGACTGTATAATAGACACCTTATATAATGCCAGTAATACACTACTGGGCTTGTAAGAGTCATACATTAACAGAGAGAAAAAGGCAGACTCATTTTTAAGATCTCACCCAAAACACCAACTTATGCAGATTTCTGCGTGTGTTCTTTGGAAGCCTGGAATTTTATCTTGGGGTTCAAAGAACCTTATTTCTAAATGAAGATAGTTACTGCCTCAGTGGCTCACAGTATCTGGGCCATAGTCCTCCAAGGTGTAAAAGCAGTGAGATGATTCCAGCTCATTTCTTGGAAGATCAGGCACTGATTCCTCAGTGAACCAAAGTGAACCAAATTCCTGTACAGGACAGATATTTACATTTTCTCTTTCTTTTTCTTCTTAAAGGGACCATTTTATAAAAGCACGTTACAAATGAACACCTATGTTGCCTTGTACAAATTTGTACCACAAGAAAATGAAGACTTGGAGATGAGGTAAAGCCCCAAAATATTAATTAGTTGATTTGACCCATGCAAACTGAGTCTCATATAGCTGTATATGACTTCAAGGGAGAGAGGGTTCATTCTGACATTTGTACTACACATTTTTTATAGAGGTATCCACTTGCAGATAGAAAGATATTCTCATAGATAAAAAGCTGGTGACCAACTTTTTTTGGCAAGGACACAATAGATAAAAAGTTTCAAAAACACTTATGTCACTTCAGGAGCAAGATGGCTTTCAGCTAGAAAATATTCAGTTTTCAGTTGCTTTGTTTTTTCAACCAGAAGTTTTCAACTAGGAATTCCTCACCAGCTCTCATGTTAATGCTGAACATTTTACCAGTCCTGTTTGATTTTCTCTCACATTCAGATTAGGTCTGAGAAAAGAGAACAATGTCCAGCTGCTGGATGGCAGTGTTTTCACATGAGAAAGATGCATTCTTATCTTTGCAAAATAACCTTGTTAATTATAATTTTTAACACTTCCTTCCTCAGTTCTGCATCAGTTGCTAGCTCTGCAAGGTCTAATACAAACCCACTGAAGTGAAAGGACATCTTTTCTTTTAGTGCGATTAGTTTGACTCATGCTACTCACATTTTGTATGGTCTTGCTAGAGCTCTTGTCATGAAATGTGTCAGCTCTCTTCAGGGCATCCCCTACATCAAAATAGTCATGCACATGCCACAGAATTTAGGGAATTGCCAGAGAAATGGCCCTCTCATCAGCATCTCCTTCACTGAAAGCCTTTTTCCTGTTCCCAGCTGTGCCTTCTCATCGCTCTGGAACTAACTGGTGGGATGTAAGCAGAAATTACAAGCTTCCCTATCATTCTGCTTTGCTGGCATTTCCTGATCATTATTTTAGGAATGTCAACTCTTCAGGAAATAACCACAGGGTATGGTGACCTTTAGTGCAACTTGCCAGCTATTCTGCTTAAGGGATTCCACTTTGCTTTCTGCTCCTTTAGGGGTGTATTCCAGCTTGTGCGTTTGTTCCACGAAGAGGAACACCGCCCAGACAAGCCTGCACTGGACTACCATCCTCATCAAGACATAGCAATCCAGAAAACACATCATTCTCCAAAATTCTCCTGTCCCTCATATTAGGGGAAAAAGCAGCCTGTGGTCTGCAGCCTGGACTGTAATGACTAACAGGTTCTTTCCAGAGACACCAGCCAGGTTTTAGACTAGTGTTGCTCAGCTACAGCAGCATTTTTTGTCCCATGTCCAGAAATTCAGTAATACATGGGTTAACACTGTTTCATAAGGGATGCCAAATAGCTAGTAATGTTGTTTGGTCACTGTAGAACCAGGTAGGATCCAGCTCAGTTGCATGAATTTTCATTTAACATAGTTGAGTTGCTAGAGATAGGTACAGCATAGCAATGTTGTCAAGACTGACAAGCACTGTCCTGGGAACCCAAGTCAGGGACCAGCCGGACACTGATCAGCCCTAACATAATGAAGGCAAGTAGCAGGGGAAGGAGCAGAGCTGGGAAGAAGAGTTAGGGGAGATTTCTGGAGATCTCAGCTCACCTCTAAGGGGGTGCAATGGGTGGCAGATTACTGCAGCAGAGAGGTGCCAGCCCTGATTTCAGCAGCAATTAGTACTTGCCACAACCTTGATTTCTTCCTCAATAGCGGGAGCAGCCAGTCAGGTTTTCCAAAGCTCAGGCATAAGTAAAGTAGGACATTCCAGTAATATGCTTATTCTAAGAGATGACCTTATTTTACAATAAGTAGAGTGTCCTGGAGACAGGCAAGCCCAGGTTTCAGACACTGAAATGATTAGAATAGAATAGAATAGAATAGAATAGAATAGAATAGAATATTTGGAGGGGACCTACAATGATAATCAGTGGTTGTCTGGCCACTTCAGGGCTGATGAGCTCCTATCTTGCCACCTACTGAACTCTAGAGCACTGATGTAGAGCAGACAACATATCCAGGGTTGTGATTTACAGAAGAAAAAGACGAGACCTGAGAGTGATTTCAACCAGCAGTAAACACCAAGCAAGTTGCCCCCTTTCAGGGATTAGCAGCCTAAGTCTAGGAAGCAAGAGTAACATAGGTCCAGCTGGGACTTCTATTTTGAATCCTTTTTGGAGATTAGATACATCTATGTTAGCCCTGTGCTAAAAAATATCAGAAGGCAAAATCTGCAGGTCTTGCATCTAAAAATCTCAGTGCTCAGACCACTTAGGTTCAGTTGCCATCTCTCTCTGACAGCCAAATAAATTTATATTTTCTAAGTTATTTTTCTAATGACCAGGCTGAAGGGTATTTGGAGGATGGCACTCTCTAAATCCTTCTTGTTGAAAGAGTTCTTCCTTGCAGTGTAAGGGCTCCAATGGTGTTACAGCCTATTCTCTTTGAAGTGGCAAAACCTCTTTAAGTGTTTTGTATTAAATATTAACTGGAATAAGGGACTCGGATGTCCTTTCCCATGGAAGAAATCGTTTAGCACTGGGATATCAAGTTGTCCTTTTTCTCTAGCTTCCTTTCTCACCTTAGCAACATTTAATTATTCCAAACACATTGGAACAGCTTCCTGAGGAGGGCTTGAGGAAAATCCTACCCTGTTGCCCTTTGAAAGCGCCTTTCTGTGAAAGCTGGAAAACTCTGGTTCAGATCGCACAGTGTTAGAAGACCAAATGCCTGTTTCTCCAGTTGTCAGCAGCAATGATAACCACTGGACAAGTGGACCAAAGAGGCCCAGCACCACCCCCAGCTCCACCTGCATCCTAGACAGGTCCACAGCTTTTATGCGTGCTAAGTCCATTAAATTGGATTCATTATCCATCACATGCTCCAGATGCGTTTGCAAGCTCTTGTGCTGATACCTCAACAATACAGTGAGCCTAACAGGGAATCCAAGGAAAGCTGAAGGGGTCAACCATTAATTTTATTAAGATCAAAGAAATGCCTCATATCAAGCAGACAGAGCTTTCTGAGGTTAATCCGTTTGGAAATGGGCTGCCACTTACTTTCTACAACGCAGCACTATTGTAATTACATAATAATGTTGATGAAGTGCCACCAACGGGGGGAAGGAGGTCAAATAACTGTTCAACTACCTGCACAAAATCAGCTCAGCACATTTTGCTATTAGCATTCCCAGCCAAATTATTCTCCTAGCTCTGCTTTGGAACTAGTCAGCTGGATGCTGATACTTAGCAATTACAACCCTGCACCACACATTATAAAGGTAAATATGTCCCATTCAAATCAAAAAGACATTCCTGGGCAGAATTATATCCCTGCTGACTAATTGCCTTTGTCAGTTAAATAGAACTATTTTCCTGCTGCCTTCCTTCTGCAATCACAGTTTGAAAACGCAGATGATAAAGTGGTGTGTCCCAACAATGTGAAATGTCTTGAAGTAACAAGATAATGCCTGTAACAAATAGGGACTGTATTTTAAACAGTTTCTTATTAAACAGGAAGCAAAAATACCAGTTCACAGATGTTGTCTCAAAATAAAGATCTAGCCCCAATATACAGAGACTCTCTTTCTACATTACCATGTATGATTGAATAAAGATTGCTGCCTCTTTGAGTCTACCTGCAGCGAATGCTCAGATAAAATGACCAAGGAAGGATCACCTTCCTATTAGAAGGTAATTGTGGAAGCTGAAGCAGCATAACAACTAAGAGTCATCTTAACTACTATTCCTCTTCTAATTACAGGCCAGGGGATATGATCACTCTTCTGGAAGACTCCAATGAAGACTGGTGGAAGGTATGTGCTAATTATTTTATATCTATCTGTTTTCCTTCCAAAGGGAAAAATATGTTATTTTCAATACTGAACTTCTATTAAAGCTACTGGTGTTAACAACCTTCTTCTATCAATATCTTTTCTCCACAGGGGAAAATTGATGACAGAACCGGATTTTTTCCTGCTAACTTCGTTCAAAGAGTGCAACATGATGAGAAGATTTACAGGTGTATCAGGACATTCATCGGCTGCAAGGAACAGGGACAGATAACTCTGAAAGAGAACCAGGTAAGTTCCCCTGAGCCAGATCCCACCAGATTTGAGCATCCAGCAGTCTGACCAACGACTGGAGGGAAAGTTGTGCAAGATGAGCATGGGCAGATGCTGTTCACTGCAACTTTACTACAAAATTTATTATTTTTGTGGTAATAGTGTCTAATAGCCAGTTAAGAGCAGTGTTGGTCTTGTGCAAACGCATACTCCCTGCCTAACATAGCCTAAATTTTCAGTCTCACAGACGTTCATAAAGATACTTTCCTACTGACTTCTGAGGGACAGCTTGAAGAAAACACATTCTTAGAGGTAGACCTTGTGTGCCTGAAAAATGGTCTGGTTTTCTCCTCACTATTAGAGCTAATCTAATAAAAGACAGTGGCTCCCTCCCCAGACCTTACCTTGCCTAAAGATCTAAACACAGCTCATTTTTTTGCAGAGTTAAGACAGCACCAAAAAAAAACCTGTAAGTCTTAAATTTTACTCTTATTCACCAGTTGCAAAGTATCTTTAATCATTAATTGCTTGTGTCACCACTTACACACCCTCTCTACAAGCTCTAATTTATTCTAAACTAGAAGTGCTGATGTGAGTTCAAGTACACCGTTACAGTGAAGACTCGCAGGGTCCATTCACCCCGGTGTACTTTCAGCAGCTCCCTCTACTTTGTGTCATTCAGGTGGGTTCACAAGGTGAAAGCCATGGCTGCCATTATGGGGTGTGTCTATGATCTGAATTTAAATGTGAGTTTAAATTTTTACCAGATATTTAATACATCCGAGTGTCAAGTCTGGTGATTCTGAGGTATAAATGCTTGCTGAGGTAAAGTGAGAGATAGATAGGGCTCAAAACCTACATTAAGGGACAGGTTTGTGGCATAAGCTTATGTAAATAGGAGGACGGCTGACTAAGGGTGCTGCACAGCCTCGGTTCTCTGACACGTGGATGAAATAGAAAACTAGATTTTTCTCACTGCATCTTGTGAAGCCTAATGTTCTTCCACCTCATTAGATATTTCCTTTCCTTTGGCAACTGATGTCACATCACCAAGAATTGTTTGCTTTACAGTGCCTGAACAAGCACTGATTTTAATAAAGTAGAGCAGAAGTCAGCATCAGGGTGGACTTCAGGGCCACAGGTTTCTCACACAGAACTTCTGTAACACTTCACTCCACTGGTGGATAAGGTTAACTTGTACCTTTGCTGCTGCTGCCTTGTGGCATAGCAAAACATACAAGTGCTAACAATCCTTGGGTATACACAGCTTTTGAAGGAAGGCACAGCAATACAGTGACCAGAATATATTTTAACTGACCCTGTGCATATAGTACATTGGGCAGCCCTGAAGCTGCTAGAAAGAGAGAAAATGCTTAATTTTTTTTACCCAGCACCTCTTTTGATTTTTTATATATGTGCGCAAAGAGGGAGAAAATATTACCAAAGCAGAACAAGAGGTTTTGCACCCTTGGTGCTCTAGAACAAGCAATGCACAAGGGCGAAGCTTGGGGAAATGGTAGTGTGGTAAGATGGCGTGCTAGCATGAGGGAATGGTCAGGGTCCGAGTCCCTTCTCGTCAGTGGGCGTACCAGATCCTCTCTGTTAGTGTGGTTGCTGCTGCAAACAGTGAGGGCCCAGTTTCTTGTCTCATTTCTCAGAAAACCATGGTTTCCAAGTGGGCAGCTTCATCTAAAAGCAAGGACTTCCTATTGTCCCTGTTTCATAATAGATTCACAAGGGAGGAGCTCACAGGGAGGAGCTCGCAGTGAGGAGCTCGTCATCGTCTCTGGTAGGGCAGGAGGTAAAGAAAGGGATGAATCCATCCTGTCTGTCTACTACTTCCTCTTCTTTAGCAAACTTATTCTGCCCTATCTCAAACCCAACACAAATGCTGAGGTTGCATGTGAATGCTGTCAGGTCCTCACTCCATGTGGGAGAGCCTTCAGAGGAAGAAAGAAATAAATATTTGGTGTAAAACAGGGGGCAGAGATCAGACTGAACAAACAGATGAATGCAGAGACATCGGAAGAAAGGAGTGGAGCCAACAGATTCCACTCCACCCTTGCAGAAATTGTGCAAAAAGGGGACATTCAAGTAGCTTCAAGGCCATTTTGAGTAATTTCCAGGCGGGACATTCACAGTGAGGCCACGGACACTCATCTGCTTCCCCCTGCACCCCCCTGCAGGGTTTGAGCCCCCCGTAATAGCCCCGAGTGAGAGCTGGCAGCCTGCACAGAACCAATGCAGCAGCAGTAGGTGGACAAGAGCACAAGGACTCCTGAACCCAGCCTGTGGGACATGTGCCCACCATGGAGATCACTGCCTGAATGGCACAATTTTTTGTCTTTTTTTTTAGCAGAACAACTTTGCCTTCACTGTGGAACAACTCTGATTGTGAAAAACATTTTAATTTTTATTGGGAATTTTTTATTTAAAAAATTTATTTTATATTTCCAAAGTCAAATTTCCTTTCTTCTTTCTTCAGCCATTTCTCTTATTTTCTGTCCTTTATTTCCCCATTGTTTTCCATGGGAAGCAGAGAGAGGGGTGCAGTAGGGAAGACGAAAAAAGAAAAAAAAATCATCTGAATGGAACTTCTGGGAAAAGTTTGTCAGAATTCTTTTTCTTTTTTTTTGTTTTTTGTTCTATTTGGGGATTTCTGTGGGATGTAACCAGCCATTTTAGCTGTCTCTGGGCACAGTGTCCAGAGTGCTGTGAGCACAATATATGTACTACATGCAAAGCACTGGCTTGTTCCAGATTAGCAAGAAGGAGCAATTATTCATTGCTACCAATTTCTGTCAAGTCTCACTTTAGCTAGAAAAACTCATTAACTGGTCTAATAAATTCCTGTGACTATAGTATGGCAAATTGTCTTCATTTTACACTGCTAATTCACTGGGTCAAATTCTGCAGAGTCTAGCAGGAGTCCAGAGCCATTCTGACAATGAAGGCAAGGAAGATATGCCAACAGGAAAACTTATCCAGTGACAGTAATATGAATTTTCAGTATATTGTTTGATACTATCCACGATTTATACTGCAGGTTTCTATCCCCTTTGTGCCTTATACGAATGTTCCCAGGTAAAGAGTCTATTCTTGTAAGGCAAAAGGCGATATATTCACATCAACAAAGCCACAAGAATACCTTAAGAAAAGCCATTTCAGGCAAGCAGAGATATTTTCAAAGCATGAAGCACAGTGGGTGAGGCTTTCTCTGGAATCACTTGTCAGTTTCATACCCTGGGAATAACATTTTGAGCTTCAGCTTCATGCAAACCTTTCCAGCAAAGCCAAGGAGAGGACTGAGGGAAAACCAACATAATTTGCTCACCCATCTTGAGCAACACGCCCTTCACAAAGGGTGCCTCGAAAATTTCATTATGAAATATGAAACCCAGCCTGGGGGAGAAAAAGTGTACTGCTTCAGAGACATCAACATCCTGAAGTTTAGGGTTCACTGACAGATTTGTGGGTCCTGAAACAAATTCAGAAGACGACTAGGCACCAGAGGGTTCAATCAGGAATCTGTGGGAGGGAGGCAGAATTAGCCTGACATCAATAAAGGAAGGTTATTAACAGGGAAACCCAAACCAGCTAACTTCTGTGGCTTTCCACTCTTTCAAGCTGTCTCACACACAATACTGGCTGCATAATTTCCAACTCAGATTGATTGTAACATTACATATAAAGTTTTCTCCAGCCTGTAACTTCTGCTCTAGCCTATCCAAATTCATTACCACACATTATACAAATGTTTCTTTGCATGACTACAGGCTCTGATTTGACCTCTTTTCACAAAAAAAGTCACCATTTTGAAAAGATATATCTAATATATCATCAATGTTTGGAAAAGCATCTCTTAAAATGCCTCTAACATTTTTGATCATCCTTATTTTTAAAGGAGTCAAATAATCTATTGTTTGAATGTCTGTTTTTACTCTTCCTATAATATCCTACCTCAGTAAAGGAAATAACCTCTTTAAAAAAAACTACTCATGCTCTTCGCTGGCAGCCTCTCTGACGTCTACAGTCACACTAATACAAACCACTTTAGAGTTGGACTTTTTGTGATTAAATAACACAATTGATTTTAAATTGCACAAGTGATCTTGTGCAATAGAAATGACCCCAAACCATGACATTTGTAACAAGACTGGCAATCAGAAACTCTCTGCCTCATCTAAATGTGGACTGTGAGTTTACATAAAGGTCAGTGCAACAGATCCATTTTGCAATGGATGTGTTTTATAAACATCACTGATGTAAACTAGCCCTGTTACCAAAAGCATCTCCCAGCCAGCTTCTGTGGTAACTGCAGATGGGCCACCGCTGCTGTGATGGCCACAACCTCTGAACCAGAGCTGTCAGCCTTGCTGTTCCCTTGGCACCACAGCTCAGGAGACAAACTTCCCTCCTACCCCAACACCCAGTCACACGAATTTCAAAAAAAATTACTTTTAGGCACATGTACATTAGCAGCTATGTGCTGATCTGGTCCAGCCACCCCAGAAGAGCCTGGCCATGGGCTTAAACAAATCCATGAGGTTAGGTTAACAAGGCAGGATTGCAACCCAGGTCTCCAGCCCCAGCGGATCCACCTGTCTCGAGTCTTCTTCTGATCAGTCTGGATGCTTTGTTGCTACCTGGCATTTCACCTCACTGCCTAGGAATTACTTTATTTCCCCACATTTTTCATCCTGGGATACTCTAAAAGGAGCTGAACTTCTAAGAGCATGACTCAGCTGCCTTTGAAAATCAGTTGCATCACGGTGACTTATGCATTCGGACTGAATCACTTAAAACACAAAAAAAAAAAAAAAAAAACAAAACACAAACCCAGCGCAGAAATTGATGTTGCGGTTCTTCATGTGCTCCCCAGCTATAACTGCTGCACTTTACAGTTAGGCTTAAGAGGAAAAGGGTCTTTTTCTGGCTATCTCTGATTTTCATTGACGTCAGTCTTGCTGAACAGGGAGAGGTGTCCTCATTCATTCAGAGATACTGAGTGGCACACGAGTTTTGCAAGAGTCTAAAACATGGGCACAGCCCATTATGCATCCAGTTTAGTCCAGGTCATCTTTAGAACCCTAAATAAGAGCTGTAGGTAAAATAAGCTGGTGTTCTCGGTCCAAAAGCTAATGAAACAGCTGATATAAAACCCGTCATCATCATTTGCACGATGGCTGAATGGGTATGAAAACTGAACTACTTATCATTTCCATCCACAAAGCTGATGTAGGCAAGAATTTCAGTGCACAGGTGGCAGCAGATGTAGCAACTCACAGTGTCCCTGTGCTGTCATTCTTACAGACAAGCAGAAGACTTGGGCTTTCAAACCTCTTCACCTGGCACTGTCTGCAGGCTCCAGGACAGCTCTTGACACTGTACTGTCCTCACAACTAAATTCCTACTTTATCAGAACCCGTCTGTGGCTGACAGATGGGTTAAATACATGGGAGAGAGAAGATAAGCAAAAGACAGCTGCAGAAAATTAGAGCAAGTTCAAAGTTACTCCTGGACAAAGAGAATTTGCTGCTTGAGCCCAAATTCAAAGCACAGGACTTAGAACAACAGGAGAGTACTAATGACCATGCAGCTTAAAGGACCATTTCCTAATTGCTCATCTCCCCCATCTCCTTGGGGCTGACTGATGGATAAAAAATCCTGAGGGCAGGTGTTGACAAGTTCAGACAACAGTCATGATTCGAACAGTTGTTGGTTTTATTTTTACTGTTGTTTTGATTTTTTTTAAACAAAATGAGATGATATAATGGGCAAGTGACTTTATAATATTAGATCCCACTTTCAGCTAGTTCTGAAGATCACTTGACGACGGAGAAATAGCCTGAGATGTGGTTTCTTACCCTGTGGCCTACGCCACTACTAACCTTCTGAGCCAGGGCATAGGGAAAAAAACCAACTGTTTGTCTCCATTTGTGTTGCTACCAAATTCACTGGAGAGTGGCTACTCAGTGGCTCACTTACCTTGTCAGGCCAGCAGCTTTCCCCCCAAAACATCGCAGCCTGAGTAGCTGCAATTTTAAGAAGTTTCCAATTTGATACAGCAAACCGTGAGCGCCTGAGGGTAGCTGTGGCACCTTGTGCCTTCACAACCATCATGTTTGCTGTCTGTCACCAGGGGTAGTCCTCAGCGACAGCTGATTCATCGGGTGGAGTCCAAAACTCTGGACACCACCATGCACTTACCTGGGGTTACTCCTGATTTACACCCACCTAAGAAAGTCAAGAGCCAAACCCCAAGGCTTACAACTTGTGGGTGAAATACTTGGCAGCACTCACAAAAGGGGATGAGGATAAAAGTGGCTAAAGATGGTGTTGTGTTCCCTCTCTTCCAATACTGCAGAATTTGGAGCAGCTCCAGGGCTTTGCAAAGCTCCAGCAGCTGCCACAGCCCCAGGGGACCTCCTGAGTCACACAGGATTAGGAAAGTGTGGCATGTTGTGGCCAAGCGCACTCTGCCCCCAACACATCCCCTTCCTTTGGAAGGAGTGGGAAAAGACTCTGCCAGCTGGGGGCCGGCACATGCAAGGCTTAGTGTATTAGTGTGAGAGAATTTCAGCTGGAATTTGTGAGAATTCAAATCAATGTATTAGTATGTAGAGTGAGAGAAGTTCTTCTGCAAAGGCCTCGTACTCCTCATGCCCAGTGAAGATCTAAACCTATTGCTGTAGCAGAGCATTCCCACTGATATCAAGGAGCACTCAAACCAGCAGCAGAACCAAAAAAAACTCCAAAAAAAGACCAAATTTGCCATCTTTTTTCACTCCAAAGATAAAGAAAACCAGTGTTCAGAAAGTTCAGTATTTTTCTTTTGTCCACAAATCATTCTGCTGACAGTACAAGACATCAGGGAAAAGTACTCTGTTCTCTCAATATGTTCTGCACAGCACCAGAGGTTAAGCAAGAAATGCAGCATGGCTAGTGAGCAGTGCAGACCTGCTGCAGGTCCCTTCTGGAGATCTGACTACTCTTGGGGTTTCTTTGGCCCATGCAAAAAGCTAGAGGTCTTGCAGACATCTTTAGTTAGGAGGAAAGCACAGTGATGGAGTCAGGCATTCCTTTTAACCAGCCAAGTCTATTTACAGAGAAGCTGCAAAGGCTCATTTTCCCACACAGTAGCAGGGATCAACTGAGAAGGGGCATCTTTCAACCAAGATGCTCTCTCCTACTCTTGGATACTCTGCCATGCTTGGCCATACTGAATCTGGTGCTTCTTTGTAGGCTTTTTCTCTCATCTTTGAAGTTTTCATAGTCTTTCTCAGAAACACAGACCAACATCTAGCAGTAGTCAGAAACACCTTTCTGTGTACGTGCTTTACACCTCTCTGCTTCAAATGGTGAGGTGACTGGAGAGGGAGCAGCTGCTGTGCTAAGGATTCATGACACAAATGAGCTTGGCTCTTTTGCAACAGTACTTAAACTAAACAGCATCAATTCCATACCTCTCCCACACTTTCCGTGTGTTTTAGCCCAAACAACATTATTATTTTTAATTGCATGTCAACTCTGTTGGTGTGCTCAGTCATTCTGCCCCAGGGATCCAATTCTGTTATTGTTAAGTGGGTAGCTTAAGTAAGAAAATTGAGTCCATTTGCTTTCCAAACCTTTGTTTGCAGGTACAGAGCTGCACCTGACCATTTCCAAATACTGGAGGTGGCAAATATGAAGCAGCTTCACCTCCTTCTTATGACCTTTCATTTCCCTCTGGCAGCATCAGTGTTGCTAGTAAATTTTATGTATGTAACAACAGGAGGACAAGCTGGCCCAGAATTCAGATGTGGTATTTAGGTGTCACCATACAATCTGTAACAGTCGTGCTGAAATGCATTTAGCCAGGAACATTTTCAAGCCATTTTTGTTTATTTCATACCCTCTGAATTACTGTAATTAAACACTGTAAATACGTGTCAGACAGAGCCTTTGTGAGTGTTAGTCCAGACAGAGGGCTTTAAATACCTGGCACTGACATAATGAGGAATCAGTGAGTTGGTCTCAGTAGGACCATCAGTTTTATGGCTATTTTTTAATCTTGTTTGATTAGTAGGAAATACATAGTTCCTTGGCACAGATATTTGAAACAATTCTTTATTTTGTGTGGTTCTGTGCTCAAGTGCCCAGTCTAAAGTACCTGTGCTACCAGGCTTTCAAATGGCCCAGCTATTACCAAGAGTATCTCAGGATGGGCCCTAAAATGGAAATACCTGAGATCACAAAGGTCTTCAGGAAATGCAAACCTTTACTATGATGTAATATTTGTACTATTGTAAAGACCATATGGTTTCACCATAATTCCCTCCATTGGGAGTAGGTGTTATGCAAACACACTCGCATAGCTGGGTTCAGATCAAATACTTTGATATACACAACAGAGCTGAGTAAGTACCTACCTATCTGAGAAGTACCTGGGCTCCTTGAACATGCAAAAGAGAATATGCTTGCATTCAGATCAGCTGCTATGAGTGACCCACCTTGGCATCGTGATTACTTTTCGCCATCAACTGTTGAGGGGGTCAGCTAGCTCATGATCTGAAATACTCAATCCTCTCATACACAGACAACTAAATCATTACAGTACACTGAAGTTATAATTCAAGTTTCAAAATCTTTGCTCCACTACGAAGTTCTTAATGATTTTAATGTCTCTCATGAATATGTGGCACTTCAAGAAGGCAGGGTGAAAGGTAATTCTCTAAATATATGAGTTTGAGTTTCTTATCAAAGCAGTGAGAGTCTAAAAAGGATTGTTCTACCTTGTAGAAGTAACTAGCAGGATGTCTAACCCATCTGATAAATAGCCTGGAATAATATGTTGCTTGATCGTGGCAAAGAGTTTATTATTTTCATACCTTCTTTGCATTCAGATTTGTGTGACTTCTGAAAAGGAACACGATGGCTTTATCAAAGTATACAGTGGGAAGAAGAAAGGCTTTGTCCCCATAGACGTCTTAGAAAACATCTGATTTCAACAGCCCGCTTGCTGCAGTAGGAGCCCTTTGTTGGCAATGCCTGTCTGCCTCATCTCACACTGTGTCAACCCAGATGGGCTGTCTTGCAGATGTTCAGGGAAATAGTGAGAAAACTGCAACTACAAGAAGAAAAAGACATTTAGACTGCCACAGCAACACTAAGAAATAAGAAAAGTGGAACGATTAAAAGAAAATATAGTCAGAAACCACTAGGGAAATGAGAGGTCCTTGGATACTAACAGGAATAAGGTAAGGAAAAAAAAGTCTGGGCTGATGACTGGTGCAAGATGGCTGTAACGACCCTGATGGAGACAGACAGCTTGTTCTGAAGGACTAAGTTCACGTCCTGTTCTTGTGTCTTAGAAAACTGTTGGACTGCTTTCTTGTTTGAAGTGTGTATTTAGGGGGGAGGGGGGGAAATACCATTCAAACTGTCCTCGTACTACAGTCCAATGCTTGTAGTAAAGTGTGGCTGTGGTTCTACAGTTTTGTCCCCAGTATCAACCGATCAGTTTAAGCGTTTAATCCTGGTGTTTAGTCTCGTAACAAAGCAGTTTGGAGACACCATGTGAACGTCAGTCCGAGAAATACACTGTGCCCTGGAAGTCGGCAGCTTTCTCTTTCTGTGCAATCTTCCCATATGAAAGAGTAGCGAACTTGTGTGTCCTTTGTTTTCTCTGTGTACGAACAAAAGCTCTCAGCATATGTCAGGTGTGATGGCTGCTCTCATAGATCACAAAAATAGCCGGTCCGCCGATTCACAAGCCTGCTTGGAAGTGTCCCTCTGTGTTTCCTGTACCTTTATCTGGTGATACAGAAAATGGGTGAAATGCTGGGAGAGAGCAACAGGCTTGAAACATTTTATATTTTTCTGTGTTTATTGCACTTAAAAGATTTTATATATTAATCCTATTTATAAAAAATAAAACAGCTAACTAACCCCTAGGAAAGGACATAATGCACATAGAAGCAAAGTCTGTAATTGTCAAAATCCAGAACTCGTGACAGAAAGGCAATGAGTGTCTTAGCATTTTGTTCACACACCAAAGGCGTCTTCTTCATTTGCTAAATAGAAGTTTTTCAGATTCAGCAGTGAATACACTGACATGAATTCCTCCTTGGCATAAACCACTGTCAGCATCCTGTAAATCTTCTCCATCCCAGTGAGACTGTGCAGACAGGTCTGTTTTGTCCATGTAAGCCTCCATCTTCAAATACGTCTTGGGCATATGAACCTTTTGGTACCTGGAGAGCAGTCTGTAGGACCTGTGGATCTTGACCAAATTATACACGTTAGCCAGTGCCAATCCTGTTGTAGAGCAGGAGCCTTATGATGTTTAAAGGCAGGGAACCTAATTTCCAAGTATTTAATTGGATGTAATTGCACCAAATACACTTAAACAGCTTAGCATGTATTATGACATAGAGATTAAGTCCTATCCCAAAGCTCCCTGCTGAATTCATGACTTATTTGACCAGCTTGAGACTGAATGCCAGTCTTTACTGCAATTAACCCCAAATTGATGTCCGAAATCCTGATACTGCAAGAAGAAATTCAGATGCTGCCAGGTTAGTATATGTCTTTGCAAAGTTGACACTATTTCTAAAAACAAGCTACCAGTTCTGCTTCCATATACTGAGGAAGTTTGAATCTGTGTTGCACAGTCCAGGTCTCATAGTTGGGTTGCGCTATTTGAATAACTGATCTTACACAAAGCCTTATGAAATCCAGTGCAACTCTACACATGACCAGAAGTTCACAGAGCAAATCAGTCTTCAGCCTCTCAGAGACACATTTTGCAGCTCTTAGGTATCAATTAATTGCAGAGGAGGAAGTGCAGGGGTGTTAACTGCTGAAACGTGGTCCTTCGTTATAAAAATAGTCTATACCAATTTTTAATGTCCTCCTGGCTGATCAAAAGTATCTGATTTCATATCTTCTGTGGGAACATCAGAAGGGTTTTTTTCAGTTCAAACAATGAACATTTGCTCAGCTCATTTTTCTAAGTAACCAGTAAACTCATTGGGAGGAAAGAGGATTCTGATAAGCCTTAAAGATCAAGAAGAAAAGCAGTAAAGACATATTAATCCATTCTGCTTTATAAGGTAATTTTTTTTATATATTCACCTGTTCAAAGGAAAAACTCAAGTGCTTGTTAGAATTAAAATAGTTGTTACTTTTGATCAGGCCTGTATTAATCTATACATATGTGCTGTTGTTTACATGATTGCATCATACTGTGATTCCCTCCTATTTCAGTCTTCTATGATTTCAATTTATCCCTACAATGTGCATCATACTATTCAAAGAATTATATAAATATTACCTACAACTCACAATGGCCTTTAATCAATGTCATTTTGATTCCTTTTGATACTGAGCAATAAATAATAAAGTGACTGAGTAAAAACAAAACAGACCTTATGTGGACTGTATTACATCTGAGAAAGCATTGCTTCTGAACCAAAGCTTTCATGGTTATCTTTTCTTTGTTTTTTTTGTTTTGCCTTTTTACTGGGCTTTTGCTGCCATTTGATACGGAGACGTAATTTATGCCTAATTTAGCAAGAAGCACATACATGAGTCTTACTTTGAGCATGTGATTCATTGGCTATTTGCATGCTTAAAGCTGAAGCACTTTGCTGAATTAAGGTCATTTTCCTCAAAATTATTTTGGATGCCTTACTCTGAATCCAGACGAGTATCCCATTTTTTTTTTCCTACCATTTGCAGTTCGCAATAGATACTGCATTAGCAAGCAGTTAAAAGTCAGACAGAAGATGGAATGGACTTTATCTGACTATGCTCAGAAAAATTGAATTTTAGGAGATAAATGCTGTTCAGATTTAATTTAATATTCTGCTTAATAAAGACTATGCGATGGTTGGAAGGAGAATAGAAGTGTGTGTTTCTTGGCTTCTTTGCATCTTTGTACCATTTTCAGTTGTCCACCTTCAAGAACATTCACTAAACTCATCAGCAACAGATGTTACTGAGCATTTCCATTTAAAATCTACAGCACTTGCATTTGCCACGTTTAGCAAACCATTTCTAAAGCAGTTCTTCTGCAATGTATGTAGCTTGTGTAGACTCAGAGTGAAGTTTTGTGGTGGGGCCATCCTGAACATTTGTTTCTGGCAGATCAGAATGTATTTTAAGCCATTCAGCATCTCATCACAGCATAAAACTGGCTACAGAATATTTTCATAAGTGCTAGCAACAGTTGATCAACATGAATTGGAGATGAGCTGCCTGAATCATGATCTCCTTCCATCCGTAAATAACACAGTATCTCAGTTTATTATCATCTTTCTCTACTCTTGGCCGTTTTGACTCAGTGACTTCCTTTGGAGACAGATGCTGCAGTGCACCGTCAGCTGTGGACTCATTGCCCTAGGGGAACTAAGACACTTATTTCTACAAACATTGTGTGTCTTTAGCATTGCTTACAGGCCTTCTTTTGTAATTATTTTTTGAGATTCAGTTGACTAAATATAGCACCCAGTGCCATTGTAGATAGGCTAGGTTGTCAGAAGAACCTGCACAGGGCCAGCAGGCAGTGTCATTGGAGATTTGGAAGAGCTGTGACCTTCTAAAGAAGCCACCAGAGACCAAGTAGCTTGTCTAAAATGGCACTAGACAGATGTCTTTGGAAAATGAACCCGACTCATTTATTTTAAATATGTGCAGACAATCTAAAGGACACTGAATAAATGCAGCAAACCATATCAAATTTGTCCCATTGAAGTCCACAGTAAAAAGAATCCTTGGATGCCACAGGGGCTGGAGTTCAATTATTATCTTGGAAAAGGCTTGTCAATGTTACCGTTCTCCCAAAAATCTGTGATGTAATTTGTCTGATCTAATTGTAAATGTCTACAACTAAGCTAGTAAATCAATGGACACTGAATAAATGCAGCAAACCATATCAAATTTGTCCCATTGAAGTCCACAGTAAAAAGAATCCTTGGATGCCACAGGGGCTGGAGTTCAATTATTATCTTGGAAAAGGCTTGTCAATGTTACCGTTCTCCCAAAAATCTGTGATGTAATTTGTCTGATCTAATTGTAAATGTCTACAACTAAGCTAGTAAATCAATTTGCTTTCCCCCTTCCCCAGAAAAGAGAGTTACATGCACTTCAGTACTATGGTTCATCTGACCAACTGAAGACTTCTGCTTTTGCATGACCTAGATTGCGCCTCACAAGTGCTTGTTTCTACCCATCGACAATCAAGGCAGCATTGGATAGCTGGGTCAGATGTAGACCTCCACAAATGTAACATCTGTATCAGGGCAGAAGAATTCCTAGCCCTCATTTCTGGATGTGTAGTTGTAACACATATATATGACTACCAGGTGTCTGTTTGGTACGTTTTACAATGCCTCTGGAGTTACTAGTAATGGTGATTATTAGAAATGAGAAAAGACGTGCATTTTTTACCCCATTTTCTTTCTATCGAATTTCCTTTACTGGCTGGTGGACAAGGGTGGCTTCCTAAATAGAACATTTTGTATTTAAATACAAGCATAACTTTAATACTATGTAGAACTAGTACTATTAAGGACATTTTAATTTAAAATACTGAACATGAAGAAAAATAGCATGGCCCTATCTCTACCTGCAAGAATACTGACTGTCCACAAGTTCCCAGAGCAACAGTAGCACACACTTACCATATGCCTAGGGAGGTAGATTCATGTGTGGTTTATTTTCTATTAACATTTCACAGTGTTTCTGCTGGACAACATTCTGAAATGCTACAAACGACCAGAGTGAATAGCATTGGCCTGGGCAATCAGACCAGGGTGGGTGTTACTGTGCTCATTCATACATAACAAAAAGCAAAATACAGATATGTGCTTTCTCTTCATTGGTGATATGCTTATCTAATAGTTCCTACAGCAATGAAAATAAGCACAAAAGAAAGTGAACAAGTACAAAGTATGTCAGGTTCTGTTTAAAATACAAGGAGGGAGGAGTGTGAATGATA